GGGGGGGGGGGGGGGGGGGGGGGGGGGAGCGGGGAGGAAGCTGCCCCGCGGCGCACGAGGGCAAGGGCGGCGCGCGGGGAGCCATAAAGCAGCCCGCGCGCGGGGGCCGCGGGGCGGCGCGCGGGTCCACTGGGGCGGCGCGCGGGTCCCACGGGGGCGGCGTGCGGGTCCCACGGGGCGGCGCGCGGGTCCACGGGGCGTCGCGTCGGGTGCAACGGGGTCGCGCGCGGCTCCACGGGGCGGCGCGCGGGTCCCACGGGGCGGCGCGTCGGGTGCACGGGGGTGGCGCGCGGCTCCACGGGGCGGCGCGCCGAGTGCACGGGGGCCGTGCGCGGCTCCACGGGGTGGCGCGCCGAGCAGAAAACCGCCGCGCGCCCCGGGGCGCGCGGTGGGCTGAAAACCGCCACGCACCGGGGCACGCGGCGGGCTGAAAAATGTCGCACGCGCGGGGCGCGCGACTAACCGAATAGCAGCGGAAGCAGTAGGTTGAACCCATCCACAGGATCTACCAGAGAGGTCGACCTGCTCTGATAGCATGTCAGAATAATGAACGAGAATGAAAAACAGACGAAGAGGGATTGCACTAGCAGGCAGGTGGGATACAAATAGGAAACCCTAATAGGGGTACTCACTGTTGAGTACCCCACTATAGCCTACACAGCATAACATTTTGACAAGGAGACGACAGGGCAACACGCTGTGGAATAGAGGAAGGACGAAGTGCCATCGTGTGCGTTCCGAGGACAGGTGGAGGACGAGGACGACGAGCACGACTAACAGTGTTAACAAGGGAGGTAGGGCGAGACTTGTCAAACATTATATATGTTATTGCTCTGTAGGCTACAGTGGGTTAGCCTTTAGGGGGTACAATACTTTAGGGTTTCATACTTGTACCACCACTCTTCCTAGTTCAATCACTTCTTGTTTCTGACATGGTATTAAGAGCTTAGGTTCTAGACCTAAGGGCCCACCGTTCCGCTAGAGGTGCCCTCGTGCGCCCTTTTTTTTTAGCGCCCTCGTGCGCCTCTCTCCTAGTGCGCCCTCGTGTGCTCTCCTCTCACGCTGCCCGTTTGCAGCCCGCTAGCAGCCCGAGCGCGGCCCCGCCATTTTAGCGCGCGTAGGAAATTCGCCGCCTAGTGCGGCTCGATTTTTTCTCGCGAGCCCCAGCAGGCCGTCGCCCGTAGGCCCCGCTCGCCCCTAGGCCGACGCGCGACCCACAGCCGCCTGCCCGCAGGACGCAGCCAGCGCGCAGCGGCGATCGCGCGTCGGCTGCTGCTGCTAGCGCTTAGCCGCCGCACGAACGCAGCCACGGCCCGCGTGCAGCCGCACCCTAGGCGCCGCCGCGCACCGAGCATAGGCGCGCCGTCGCGCCGCCTTACCTACCCGAGCCGCGCCGCCCGAGCCGCGCCGCCCGAGTCGCGCCGCCCGAGTCTAGCCGCCCGAGTCGCGCCGCCCTGACCGAACCGCGCCGCCCTACTTGCAGCAACTGCTCTTACTGCCCCTCCTGCTCCTACTACTTCATCTGTTACTTCTGCTACTGCTACTGCTGCTACTGCTACTACTGCTACTGCTACTGCCACTATGGCTAGTCCTACCGTTCTCACGTTTGACTCTGAGGGCCGTCCGATTAAGTTTGACGTTTGGCTCGATGACCTGCACCTGTTCCTCCAGATCACTGCCAAGGACGATGTTTCCCTTTTTTACCACACGTCCGGCGCCGCTCCTGCGCCTGCTGCTACTGCTGACAGCACTGCTCGATCACAGTGGCAGACCCGTGACGCTCATGCTCGCCTAGCCGTTCGCAGCCACCTACCGCTAGATGAGCGCGAGCACTTTGGCCAGCATAAAACCGCTAAGGAGCTGTACGACGCTGTAGTTGCACGCTACTCCTCCCCTGCCACTGCTGTGATAGGCCGTCTCTCACTGCCCTATCTCTTCCCCGATCTGTCTGCCTTTGCCACTGTAGCTGACCTCATCACAAAACTTCGTACTTGTGATCTTCGCTACCGTGCCGCGCTTCCCCCCGATTTCCTAGCCAAGAACCCTCCCCGATGTACCTCACACTCTATCACCTGGTCACCCGCCTCCCTGACTCCCTTCGCACTGTCAGGGACCACTTTCTCGCCCTCTCCCCTACCGACCTCACTGTTGACCTGCTCGAGAAGGAACTCCTCGCAGCTGAGAAGAGCATTGTAGCTGTAGGTGCCTCTCGTGGCGACCCTCACACTCCCTTCTTTGAGGGGTGCTCCCCCTCCCCCCTCCTCCCCTCCATTGCATCTGCTGCTGCTGTCGACTTCCTCGGTGCTGAGGGGGTCGGGGCTGCGTCTGCTCCCAGTGGGAGGCGCAAGGGCGGCAGGGGCAAGGGGGGCAGGGGTGGCGGAGGTGGCGGCGGGGGCGGCGGCAGTGGAGGGGGTGGAGGGGGCGGGGGTGGTGGCGGTGGTGGGAGTAGCGCTGGTGGTGGGGGGGTCAGTGGCGGGGCAGGGGGTGGAGGCGGCGGAGGTGGCGGGGGTGGTGGTGGCAGTGGTGGCGGCGGTGGAGCAGGTGGCGGGCGCGGCGGAGCAGTGCAGCGTGGGGGGTTCGGCGGTGGCCAGAGGCAGCAGCAGCAGTGTCCCGGCGAGACTCCTTCACCTCAGCAGCTCTGAGAGTGGTACTCTCAGCGTGGGGGGTCTGGGGGTGAAGGTACCTGCCCGTACGTCATCCGCACAGGTGACCGCACTGGCCAAACCTGTGGGAGGTTCCACACGGCGCAGCGCTGCTTCTTTCGACTCGACGACGCCTGGCGCGAGCAGTTTCCTGATGCCGCTGAGTTGCCTCGCTGGGCTGATCTGCTTAAGAAAGGAATTGATATCTTTGCTCTTGATTATGATGCTATTCTTGGTGCTATGTATGCATTGACTATTAGTGTTGAGGGTGACTGCTACTTGAGGGTACCGCCCGACCCGGGTATAGGGACCAGTGAGACTGCCGCTCTAGGTGCTAGTGCGTCTGCTGCCCTACGTCCTGGTGAGGCTGCTGCTCTAGGTGCCAGTGAGTCTGCTGCTCCAGGTGCTTGTGAGTCTGCGCCTGCTGGTACTGCGTCTACTGAGGCACTGCACACCTTCACACTGGAGTCAGGTGCTTCCCGCTGCTTCTTTCGTGACCGCACTGTCCTTGAGCCGCTAGCTCGACCAGTTGCTGTCTCTCTCGCTGACCCCTCTAGGGGTCCAGTCCTTGCGACCTCCTCCACTGTCCTCCCTTGTCCGGCGGTTCCGGCCGGCACCCTGTCGGGTCTTTACCTCCCCTCATTCTCTACGAACTTGGTGGCGGGCTCTGCTCTCCAGGACGGGGGTGTTCACCAGTTCACCCCTGCCAATGAGCGTATGACCCACTGCACGTGTGCTCGGTCGGGTCGCCACCTGGCTACCTTTACTCGGCGGCCGGGGTCGGACCTATACACACTGACCACTGAGTCCCCTCAGGTAGCTGCGTCTGTGTCTGCGTCAGGTCAGCTGTCGGCCCCCTGCTCGTGTCGTACCCTGTCGCACCAGACGGTCCTCTGGCACCACCGCCTTTGTCACCCTTCAGTGCAGCGCCTTCGTGGCATGCACTCCCGGTACCTTGTCTCTGGTCTTCCCAGGGTTCTCCCTCCTCTCCCACCCTCGCCTGCTCCTCCCTGTCTTCCCTGTGTCGAGGGGCGGCAGCGCGCCACTCCTCACTCCTCCTCGTTTCCTCCCACAGAGGCTCCTCTGCAGACTCTCCACCTGGACGTGTGGAGCCCAGCCCGCGTCCGTGGACAGGGCCACGAGCGGTACTTCCTGCTGGTCGTCGACGACTACACGTGCTACACCACGGTCTTCCCCTTGCGCACCAAGGGAGAGGTCCCTGATGTTTTGATCCCATGGATCCGCGCTGTTCGTCTCCAGCTCCGCGAGCGATTCCAGTCGGATTTTCCTGTCCTGCGTCTGCACTCTGACCGGGGTGGTGAGCCTCTTGGCAGCCTACTGTGCGGAGCACGGCATCCGCCAGACGTTCACTCTTCCGGCCTCTCCACAGCAGAATGGGATTGCTGAGCGCCGCATCGGCTTAGTCATGGAGGTCGCTCGTACCTCCATGATCCATGCGGCTGCCCCCCATTTTCTGTGGCCGTTTGCAGTTCAGTACGCTGCGCATCAGCTCAACCTCTGGCCCCGTGTCTCTGCTCCGGAGACCTCGCCCACAATGCGTTGGACGGGGAAGGTTGGCGATGCGTCGGTGTTCCGAGTCTGGGGATGTCGAGCCTTTGTCCGTGATACGTCCGCGGACAAGCTCTCCTCCCGTGTCGTTCCCTGCGTCTTTCTAGGCTTTGTCCCTGACGCGCCTGGCTGGCAGTTTTACCACCCCACCTCGCGGCGTGTCTTCCCCTCTCAGGACGTCACTTTTGATGAGTCGGTACCCTTTTACCTTCTGTTCCCCTAGCACACTGCGCCGCTCCCCCCCCCCCCCCGCCGCTCTTCCTCCACTCCAGGTGCTGCTTCGGTAGATCCCCTCCCTCCCAGGGTCCTGCTCCCTCAGGTGTTTCCCAGGTAGACCCGGTCGAGCCAGTCGAGGTAGCTGTCGACTCTGGTCCTGCGAGGGGTACTGAGACTGAGGATGCTGAGCCTAGGGGGTGCTGAGGACTGGGGGTCTGAGGACTGGGGGTGCCTGAGACTGGGGGTGCTGAGCCTGGGGGTACTGAGCCTTGGGGGTGCTGAGCCTGGGGGTGCTGAGCCTGGGGGTGCTGAGCCTGGGGGGGTGCTGCAGCCTGGGGGTTGCTGCGCCTGGTGACGCTCCCTCTTCACAGCCAGCTGCCGTGAGTGGTACTCTCAGCGTTACAGCCTCCGGCGTGGGGCTGCGGGAGCTGGGGGTTCTGCTGGAGTTGGGAAGCTGGTGGTGCTTACGGGTGCTGGGTCACAGCCGTCGCCTCCCTCCCCACAGCGACTACGTGAGTGGTACGCTCGGCGCTTCGGCCTCCGGAGCGGCGCCCCTGGCACTGGGGTGCCGCCCCCACTGGAGGCCCTGGTGCTGCTGGAGGTCCTGGAGCCTCAGGTCCTGGAGTGCTCGTACAGGCGGGTACTGGAGCTGCTGGGGACTGGGGGTGCTGCTGGAGCTGGAGCTACTGGAGCTGGTGCTACTGGAGGTGCTACTGGTGCGGGAGTTGGAGTTACAGGTGCTGGCGCTGCTGGAGCTGCCGGTGGAAGCTGAGGACGCTGGGCCTACTGGAGTGTTGGTGTAGCTGCTGACCCTGGGGTTGGTCCTGCAGGTGCTGGAGCCGACGGTGCGGCTGGAGCTGGTACTACTGGGGTACTGGAGTTGGCGCTGCTGGAGCTGCTGGTAGTGCTACGGGAGTTGGAAGCTGCTGCTGGGGGTTCAGCTGCTGTCTCTGCTGGTTCTGGGGGCGCTTCACCGGCCGCGGCCGTTACTTCGTTTCCGCTCCTTCAGCAGGTTTATTGGTCAGCCTCCTCCTCCTTGTCCTGCTCCCTTCTTAGAGTGTCCTCAGCCTGTCAGTCGCAGTTATAGTTACAGCCTGCCTCGCCCCTCCCTGGTCCTTCTCCCTACACTGGTCCGACAGGAGGTCTTACGGAGCGTCGTGAGCCTGAGTCTCGTCCTGTGTCGCCTGAGTCTCGTTCTGCGTCGCCTGTTCGTGTCCCGTGTCAGCGTCCTCCTGCTGTCCCAGGCACTCACCAGATGACGCTTTGTCTTTCCACTGCTCCGCAGCGTGTCCCTCTGCCTTCTCCTCCTGCGTCCTCTCTTCCTGCCCTTGCTGACCCGGAGTCTGACTCTCTTCGTGCTGCTAGTCCTACTGTCACGCGTCTCGTGGCCACTGCTGTCACTGGACCCTTCCTTGAGTCTGCCTGCTGCGTCTGCCCCTAATTGCTGAGCTTATCGACTTTGCTGCTCGCTGTCGTCTAGACTACGCCGCGAGTCTTGTTGCTGAGTCTGAGTCTGTCTGTCCTCCGTCCGTCGGGGGTGAGTGTGCTCTAGGCACGGACGTCCTTGAGGACAGACAGGAGGACCTTGAGTGTCTTGCAGCCGTTGCGCCTCATCTCGTGTCCATGCTGCTTGCCCCTGAGGGAGACCCGGATGCTCCAGACATCCCGACCCCGCGCTCGTACGCTGAGGCGATCGCGGGTGAGTACTCCTCTCAGTGGCAGTCAGCCATGGACGCAGAGATGGCATCCTGGAAGTCCACTGGCACTTACGTCAACGAGGTTCCCCCTCCTGGGGCGAACATCGTCAGTGGCATGTGGATTTTCAGGGTGAAGTGGCCGCCAGGTTCTCCGCCTGTCTTCAAGGCTCGTTACGTTGCTCGAGGGCTTCAGTCAGCGAGAGGGGAGTATACTTCTTTCAGACCTTCTCGCCCACCCCGAAGATGACCACTCTTTCGAGTGGTACTGCACGTTGCCGCTCAGCGTGACTACGAGCTTCACTCTCTTGACTTCAGCACAGCTTTCTTGCAGGGCAGCCTGCACGAGGAGATCTGGCTGCGCCGCCCTCCTGGCTTCACTGGGTCGTTTCCTCCTGGTACCCAGTGGAGCCTCCGGCGGCCGGTCTACGGTCTCCGCCAGGCGCCACGTGAGTGGCACGACACACTGAGGACTACTCTTGCGGCTCTTGGGTTCGCGCCTTCTACTGCTGACCCGTCGCTGTTTCTGCGCACCGACACTTCGCTGCCGCCGTTCTACATCCTCGTGTACGTCGACGACTTGGTCTTTGCCACTGCTGACACTGAGGCTCTCGCCCACGTGAAGTCGGAGCTGCAGAAGAGACACACGTGCACAGATCTGGGTGAACTGCGCAGCTACCTTGGCTTGCAGATCACCCGGGACAAAGCACGCCGCACCATCTCACTGACTCAGTCACACATGGTGCAGTAGGTCCTTCAGCGCTTCGGCTTCACCTGGTCCTCGGCACAGGCCACTCCTCTGGCTACAGGTCACTCGCTCTCAGCTCTGCCTTCGGATGAGTCCGTAGAGCCGAGTGGTCCTTACCCAGAGCTAGTTGGCTGCCTCATGTACCTGATGACTTGCACTCGTCCTGACCTCGCGTACCCTCTTGGACTTCTGGCCCGCTATGTGGCTCCTGGTGGGCTCCGAAAGGTGCACTGGGATGCTGCAAAGAGAGTATTGCGCTACTTGTGCAGTACGTCGGGCATGGGGCTCGTGCTTGGAGGGAGGAGCTCAGTTGTTCTCACTGGGCACTCAGACGCTTCTTGGGTTGATGTCCAGGCTACTCAGCGGTCGTCACAGGGTTACACCTTCAGTCTTGGCTCTGGCTCAGTTTCGTGGCGTTCTACGCGTTCGTCTTCAGTTCTCAGCTCCAGTTTTGAGGCTGAGATCTACGCCACAGCCATGGCTGCACTGGAGTTACGCTGGCTCACCTACCTGCTGACCGACCTTGGAGAGCAGCCTCGTTCTCCTCCAGTGTTGTACGTCGACAACAAGGCTGCCATTGCCTTGTGTGAGGAGCACAGACTGGAGCACAGTACGAAGCACATCGCTCTACGTTACTTCCTGGCTCGAGAGTTGCAGCAGCGTGGTCAGCTTCGTCTGCGTTACGTGGCCAGTCAGGCCAACACTACAGATATATTCACCAAGGCACTTCAGTCTGGTGATCATCAGCGTTTCTGCACTCTGTTAGGACTTGT